TTCTAAGTCCCTGAAATCAGCATCAACGATTATGCTACTTTGCATGCTTGTGCTAGTCACCACAAAGATCACAAAAATACATGGCATACACCCCTGTAAAGATGGCATGGCATATAAAAAACAGATGTAGAGCTCAGGATCATAGCATGCGCACATTAATCATGGCAAAAATGACAAAAGGCTATTTGCTGAAACAGATCTGACATAATCATCACATAGCCCTCTTCCAACAGTATTTCGGGCATCAAGGTGAGCTAAAATAAAAATGATGCAATGAGATGAAATGATGTGCTCATCAAGACGAACATTTTAATATGCTACACGCATGAATCGGAGCTACGGTGACAGAGTTATGATGCGATGAACATGCCCAAAATTATTGAAATTAGGGTAAAAGTCAACCCTAGGGTTTCGTCCGGATCTGGATCTGAGGCGGCGCGTGCTTCGAGGTTTGTCGGAAACCCTGTTCGCCGGAGGAGGAAGTCGCCGAACTTGTCGGGGATCGCCGGATCCGGGCCGGGGGAGGACGGGGCGGCATCGGCGGTGGTCGGACGCGGCGAGGTGGCCGCGGACGCAGTGGCCGACGACGAGGCGCGGCTGCTCCGGCCGGATGCGCGAGGTGGCGCAGCGACGGAGGTCGCCGGAGCAACGAGCCGGCGATGAGGCACGGCGGCGCTGGGGGTGCGACAGGCCGACGCGGGTGAGGGCGCGGCTCCTCACGCGCGGGCGCGGGCGGAGGTAGGCGGCGGCCGCCTCGGGCCCGAGAGGGCCTCCCGTGGGCTTGCCGAGCCGGAGGAGAGAGGAGATGGCGGCGGTGACGTGGCGGCGCAGGAGTGGACGGGGGAGGCGGCGGTGACGACGTGTCGGCCTCTCATTGGCCGGAACGCGTGGCGGCTGGCGGTGGACATGTCCGGCCGTCGTGGACGTGTCCGGCGGCGCGGGGAGGTGGTAGACTAGGGTTTGATCTGCGCGAGAAAAACGGAGGGAGACATTTATATATAGGTAGAGGGAGCTAGGAGAGTCCAAATGAGGTGCGGTTTTTGGCCACGCGATCGTGATCGAATGACTGAGAGGATGGAGGGGGTTTAGGTGGGTTTTCGGCCACATTGGAGGGGTGTTGGGCTGCAACACACACAAGGCCTTTTCGGTCCCTCGGTTAACCGTTGGAGTATCAAACAAAGTCCAAATGGCACGAAACTTGACAGGTGGTCTACCGGTAGTAAACCAAGGCCGCATGACAAGTCTCGGTCCAATCCAAAAACGTTTAACACCCGCACACGAAAAGAGGTAGAAAGGGGCACCGGGTGACATAGGAACGCCGGAATGCAAAACGGACAATGGGAAAAATGCTCGGATGCATGAGACAAACATGTATGCAAATGGAATGCACATGATGACATGATATGCAAAGCATGACACGCAAGCAATGACAAGGCAACAACATCGAATAACTGGAGGACACCTGGCACATCGGTCTCGGGGCGTTACACCATACCTCTGTCAAAACTCTACTTCTTCATCACCCCTAGCATTCCAGCCGGGCTTCACCCCGCTTCTCCTTCGTCATCATTCAATCCATCTCCTCCGACCGTCCCGCTAGGTACTATCCGCTACTGCTATACTCACCATGCCCGGTAACTGTTCGATGAATTGCCGGAGCTAAAAAAAAGTTGTTTCTTCTTCTTTCAAGCAATGAATTCTGATTTGGAGTACATATACGAACACTATGTTGAGTCGTCTGATGACTCATCCGATGAGGAGGACTACACAGATGAGATAGCAATGATGCAGGCAGTCCTTGAAGACGCGGAGGGTCATCGAGTGCTCAACCACAACAAGGCGTGTTTCCATTTGACACTAATGGTTGATTACTTTTCCCTCGATGCATTCTTCGCTGACCCTTTTCACCGGAGTTTTTGGATGCGCAAGACTGTCTTTGACTGTTTGTACCATGGCGTCTGCTCTATGATGACTACTTTGTCTTGAAGAAGGACGTCGTGGGAACGATTGGATTCTTTGGTTACCAGAAGTGCACGGCCGCACTCTGGATGCTTGCATATGGTACGGCCGCTGATTTGTGGGAAGAGTACCTACAGATGTCTGAGAGCACTTGTGGAGATCCCATGGCCAGGTTTGCAACTGCCGTGGTCGAGGTGTTTGGACCTCCGTACCTGAGAGAACCAACTGTCAGAGACACCGAGAGGCTCTTGGCAATCTCAGAAGCAAGAGGGTGGCCAGGTTTGCTTAGATCTCTTAACTGCATGCATTGAAAATGGAAGAACTGCCCGAAGGCTTTACAAGGGCAATATCAGGTTCATGTTAAGAAGCCCACCATCATTCTTGAAGCAGTTGCATCACATGATCTTTGAATTTGGCATGCTTTTTTGGCATGCCCGGGTCTCACAATGACATCAAATGTGCTACAGCGATCACCATTGTTTGCGGGGATAACTGAAGTAAAAGCTCCCCCCTTGCCACTATATTGTCAATGGACATGAGTACATATTTGGTTGACAGTATTATCCTGTGTGGGCTACCTTTGTCAGCACCATCTCTAACCTAGTTAGTCAGAAAAAGTCTCACTTTGCTCAAAGACAAGAAGCAGCTAGAAAGGGCATTTGGATTTTTGCAGCCCCGTTTTGCAGTTGTTCATGGACCTGCTAAACAATGAGATCCAGAGACCTTGTGGGAAATGATGACATGTTGTGTGATCATGCACAATACGATCGTCGAGGATGAGGATAAGGATGTTGTTGTAGCTCTAGAATTTGAGAACATGGGTGATCCTATAGAACTTCAAACCAGAATCCGGACACATTTGAAGAGTTTATTCAAATGCATCAACAAATCCGACATCGAGAGCTAAAGGAATATTTGATTGAGCACCTGTGGGCAGTTGAAGGGGACAACAATGTTGGAATGTAATTAATATTTGAACCTTTTTAAATTTGAACTGTTGCATGCAACTATTTGAACATTTGCACTCTATGTATGCGGCTATTTGAACGTCTGAACTCTATTTATGCGGCTATTTGAACGAGCGGACATTCAAAAAAAAACTAGGACGGATGCGGGAGGGGATTTACGTGTCAACGTTAGCCAAGGTGGACCCGTAAAACTCCTGCAACCGTTCGAACTGCGCTGTACGGCCCACGAAAGCCGTCCAACGCCGACCTGTATCGGTCCACGAGGCGGTCAGGACGTGATTTCTCCTGTAAATTGGAGACAAAAGTGTGGGAGATTTACGGGAGTCTGGACACATGAAACGTAGGACTTCGACACCCCCTCCCGACCCAATCTTCCCTCCCGGTCCCATTTCCTTCCACTCCGCCCCTTCTCCCCCTTTTACTTTGCATCCGCACCCTCCACCTCCGTCGTCGCCGTTGTTCGTCTCCGGCATTGTCGGACGTCCGCAACCAGCACCGACGTGCCCGCTCGCTGTTCCGACGGAGCTTTCAGCCTTGGAGCCATTTGTACCCAGGTACACTCCGCCCCCTGTTGACGACCTCCATGGCGAACACCACGCCTGGCAGGTGTTCGGTCAAATGTCATTGAGCTTAGTTTCAAATGCTATGTCATTTTTAGAGTACGAATGATGGTGAGCTACTCGACCATGAAGGATGAGTTGTGCGATGCGTGGCTGGCCGTATCCACGGATTTCATAGGCAGGACCAGAGAGCCGCCCTTCTAGGAGCAAGTGCATGAAAAGTTTTACACAGGAAAGCACATTGCGCCTTACGACGTGTACATCATGCGACCACACAAGTGAGGTCATTGTCGTATCGCTGGCACGCTATCTAGGTTAACGTCATCAAGTTCTGCAATTTGGTCAGTCAGCTCAAGGCAAGGTGGCCATTGCACTTGGGCATGGAGGAGATGGTAAGTTTTATTTCCTCTTGCTAAACTTATTGATTGATTTATTTACTCAATGTTGGTCTACACGTCCTCTTGCTAAACTTGTTGATTGATTTATTTACTCAATGTTGGTCTACACATTATATGTAGCCCACACGCGCTGCCGTGTTGAACCACGGGTGAGGGGGACGGCCATTTACGTGAACGCGCTGTTGGATGAAACTGAGGGAGAAGTATGTGCGGGAGGACATGATCCGTTCCTGAAAAATTTTGTTGGACATCCGAGATCTAGTCGAGTTTGAGACCTTGTTATATTAGACTTAATTTGCATGCTATGTGTGGATACTTTGTGCTATTTTCTATCCAAATTGTGATAAATATCAGCCTATTTGCATGAATTTCATCCGGTTAGTTAAAATGCGATTTGAAATGTATGCAACTAGCATTGGATGGCTGCCTCCACTCCACAAATAGATGCAGGAGGTTTTTTGCAGGTTGCCGTTGAACATGCCCTAACAAGGTAAACTGCAATAGGCCAACCGTTGGATGCGAGGGGGCAGGACTGTATATAAACCAGTTGAAAATACCGTAGTTGTTCCCACGTACGCAGACTACATGATCTTAGTGAAGGATCTATAATGAGAATCAAGAAATCATAACCCCAAGGACGGTAATAGAGGAACCATTGTTCCTCAGCTGATGCACGGCCAGGAGGATCGTAACTCGTAAGAAAGGTATTTCGTCCCCTATAGTTAGGCCAAAGCCCAAAAGTAGCACGTCAGGAAGTTTTACAATCCACCCTCAACGAATGTGAAAAATGCAGATATTGTTCTCTACAGATATAATTCCGAAGTTTTAGAGATATACTACTAGAAAAGGACGTCTCTGTGTTCCACCAAAGCCACACGTCTTAATTTAGTTAGTTATAAAGTGATCTGACAAGGCTCCAATTTCCTCATGTCTTGACTTGCATATCATCATCAGCTTAAGGCGAGCGGACGGACTATCTTCGTGCAGGCCATCTTCAGTTAAAGAGGTATCCTGCGCGATGACACAAACATAACTCTTAGCACCTTAAACATGCGATGAGATATCCAATGACAGAACCGTATGGACTAACTTATTTCTTTGGTTAATTCTGTGGATCAACTGTCCAGAGCTGGTGGTGGTCCAGGTGGAGTTTGCCTGCTCAAGGTAAGGGGAGATAAAGCCTTCACCACAATGCTCATGCTTGGACGGAACTCGGCTTCATATTGCACACACAGAGCTGCTACCGCCCCAAGCTGTATTAAGGTGCGAAGGTGAAAAGTGCGAAAACAGATGGAAAAGTTACAAGTTGTCAAGCTAGTGGGTATACAAAAGAGGGGGCAAGAGACAAGAGTAGGGAGACCTTTGCAAGTCCCTTCGGCGGATATTCACCCTCCAACCGGGGATCTATGCAACCCTTCACCTTGTCTTCAGTTAATCTTGGTGTAGCCTGCACAACAGAAGCTATATGCTCAGAGAACTGGTTAACAAAGTCCACAGTGAAGGATGGGGATGTGTCTTGTTATTATGAGAAATAAGTAACTACGATGTGAGCATTACCCATGTAACCAGGCTCTGCTGCCCTCGGGGCGCTGTATGGTCCACAGGCTTTCTTCCTGTCAGAAGTTCCAAGAGAACAACCCCAAAACTATACACATCACTCTTCTGGGTCAGCTGACCAGTCATTGCGTACCTAGAAAGTTTATATTATTACAAAGCATTAGTTATACAAAAACAGTATTCTGTAATATCAGAATTCTGTAGACAATTGCATCACTTCAAGAAAGGTTTTATGTAAGGAGTACCCCCATATTAGAGTGTTTACTGCCAGGGAGAGTTTACAAGTTTCTGGCCAGTAACAGTAATGGTTAATACTCCCTCCGTTCCATAATTCTGGCCGTGGTTTAGTTCAAATTTGAACTGAAACCACGACAAGAATTATGGAACAAAGGGAGTAGAAGATAAAATACATAAATATTTGTGTCTGATTCTGCCCAAGTACAGGAAACTGGGTTGCCTCCACCTGGTGAACTTGATTCTTTTTCAGATTGGTAGTTGAGTATAAACCAGTTTTATCTGGTCAAACAAAATCCGAACAGAAGAGAAAAAACAGGCTGATGGATTCTACAACGACACAAGTTTCTCAGCATATTGCTATAAATGCTAAGTGCCAAAATGTACAAATAAATGCCAGGGAATGATTAAATTCTAATGTTGCTGATAAATGTGCTTATCTGTTGACATTTTTTAACCTCTGCTTTGAACAAGCAATGCAATCGATTTTATACAGAATTAACTAGACAAGTTCACACTCCAAAGAGAACTACTCCCTCCGTCCCAAAGTAAGTGACTAAACTTTGTACTAATTTTGTACTAATTTTGTACTAAAGCTAGTACAAAGTTGAGTCACTTAATTTGGGACGGAGGGAGTATATTTTAGCAATAAAATAGTTATCAAAGTATTAATTCATCACGGATTTGGTAGTTTGAAAGTATAGGATTCTGTACTCTGGGGCATGATAACCGAAGGTTCCCAACACACGAGTAGAATGCAACCGAGCAGCCATATCTGGAGCCTGATTTGAAAGATTGAAGTCTGCAATCTTGGCCTTGAAGTCCTCAAATAAGAGGATGTTGCTGGATCTAACATCTCTATGTACAATAGAAGGCTGGACCTTCTCGTGCAGATATTCAAGTCCTTTGGCAGCATCAACAGCAATTTTCATTCGCTGCATCCAATTAAGTGGTGGACCAGGTTGTGCACCTTGTACTCCTTTTCTTCCTGTTAGCACAAGTTAAAAACATACTTGCTTACAAATAATCCACAATAGCTGTACCACCCCAATCCCCAAGTTCCAACGAGAATAGGAAATTTTGTATCAAACTGTGGAGTATGATGGATATGCATAATCATACCATGTAGAACATCATGCAGGGACCCCATGGTAGCAAATTCATAGGCTACTATGCGAAGGTTACGCTCCATACAGTATCCCAATATATCTACGAAGTTTTCATGTTTCAATCTTGAAACCAAGGAAACCTAGCATAAGAAAGTGTGGATCATTGCTGATGGACTCTCCGTGCATTTTCAGAAAAATATACATATTTAAAATTAGAGAACACTTCATGCATTAAGAAGTGTCAGATGTATAACCAGAAGAATAAGTCCAATCTTCAATAGTAAGCCAACCTGAGTCGAGAATTCTGATATGGGCTCATTTTCAGTAGCATCAAGTTTCTTCACTGCCATTTTTGTCCCATCATCAAGGACAGCATAGTACACTCTCCCATAAGACCCTTCGCCTATTAAAGCCTTTGCCCCAAAATCATCAGTCTTTTCTATTAATTCATCCAAAGATAGAACAGGAATATTGATAGAGGGAGCTGAATCTTGTGGCTCGGCTTTCACAGTAGCAGAATCTTTCAAACCCTTTTTCATTCCTTGAAAAAGCAGAGGAAATAACATCAAATTCTATGTGGTGAATGTCAGATAAATGACCAGAACAGAGTTTTAAGTTTAAGTGGCATGATAACTGTAAACTAGCAAGCAAATGATACAATCAAGGTAAATAAGTGTACCATCTACGTTATTTGTTGGGGCCTTGGCCTTGGCACGCCCATTTTCATTCTCATCAAACTCAGTGGCTTGACAGCAAATGCAGCGACGCCACATTACTCTCCCTTTGCCTTGTTTCACCCCTACTACAGAAAGCACATAAATGATTTTTATCAGGAAAAATATTACAGGATTACACAGGAGCATATTCATTTAACTTCAGAGCACCGATGTCATCTCCTAACCAATGAAGCCTTCTAGAACAACAGCATTTGAACCACCATATACGTTCAGAAGGAGCATCAGTTTTAAAGTTTTTTGTTCGTTTAAGTGGTTTATGTCAGCACTTTGAAACATCAAAGTTGTTCCCGATGACAGCAAAGCATTTCGATGTCAGAAACAAAATCTGAAACAACCTCGAACCAGAAATCATCTCACGGATTGAAAGCGTACATCAGCTAGACTTTGCTCTATCTGAGAACATCGAATTTGCACATGTACATATCACATCCATCATACTACAGCGCGGGATTTCTGCAACCATTTCAACTGAAAATAAACTGCGCCGTCTGACAGAAATTCCCATCCCAAACTACAAAAATCACCTCGCATAAACTCCAAACACTAGAAATTTCACTACCAAACCCGGCATCTGCGACCTCCCTACACACAGCCCACACCAACTTAGACAGACAGTGGCTGGCCGACTACGAGCGCCGAGATCCAGGGCATCGAACCATGATCGCAGAGAACCTTCAAACCGCACACCAAACCTAACAAATCGCTTCCCCACCACGAACCCGCGCCTAACCCCGGTCAACCGCGGAGAGAGAGAGAGCGCGCGCGTGGCATCCCCGCCTGCGCCGAAACGCCGACCGCCGCAAAAACCGCCACCGGGCCGATTCGATCGCGGGCATTTCCGCGAGGCGGGGCGCGGAGGAGGAGGGGACAGACGAACGGAGTGGGAGGCGGCGGGATTCCGGGGAGGAGGATTTTGGGGGCGCGGAGACCTTACCTCGAGGGGTCGGCGGCGTTGCTTACTTTGGTCGGCTTCGTCGTCTCGGAGGAGGCGGAGACGGAGGCGGTGGTCGCGTTTTTATAGCGTTTCGCTCTCTTTCCCCTGCCTTTTTGAACTCTTATATTTTCTTTTCTTTTCTTTTTGTTTGTGTGCGCGTGTGTTTACCTTCGAGCTGGCGAGAAAACGGAACGGCCGGATGTGTCGCTGCTAGTGGGTCCCCAGCGGGAGGAATGCTGCATGCCAGTGAGCAGTTTCTAGATTGGGGGGCGCATTTCACGCGTCTACGGGTGAGGCGCCGGCTTTTCTGTTGGGTTTTGCAGGTTTAGAGATGCCCACAAGACTGGGAAGCATCTAAAAAAATCCCTCAAAAAAGGAAAAAGAGAAGAGTCCAAAAAACGCTTTGAAAAACGCCTTCCTGTTTTTCATTTAGCTAATTTTCAATTCAGCATTCAGTTTTTTTTTGTCCTTCCGATCTACTCAGTCCTGCACGCATGGTGATGATTTTCATGTCATTGTTTGGTCTCGCACAATAAAAAATGATAATACAACTAATACCGAATTCTAATCCAGTTAGATGTTGATTAACTACTTATTAGTATTAAAAACAAGATTGAGATGCAAAATATGTTTCCTCCTATCGGTTGCCCCTGGTGGTTCCCCTCAGCTCCGGGTGCCTTCCCACGTTAGCGAGGTGGGGGACCCCGGTATTGGTTGTAGCGCTCAAGAAAGCGTTTTTAACCAATGCTTATGAGCGATGGCAAAACACTCTGCTTTGGCCTAAGCAGCGGATTAAGCGTCTTTTAAATTTTGTAATTGGAATTCAGTTGTTTTTTAATTTGGCTGCTTGCGAAATAATGGTGATATGCCATTTTTCTTATTATCAAGGTTTGTTCAAGAACTATTTCCTTCAGGTTCTGCGCCCCATCATCTATTAGGCTATGTCTATTTGAACTGGACTGGATTTTAGTTGTATTGCTTGTTGTGTGAATCTGATGTGTATTTGCTATTGTGTGAACTACATTTTAGATGCTATTTCATCTATCAGTGTGCTATGTTTTATATTTTCATGTGCATATTATTCAAAAACAATGAATTTGGTGGGGTGAAATTTTGGCCAATTTGCTCTAAGTTGTGGCCTTCCGCTTCTCTTATGTTTTCCATATTTTTGAATATTGTTTGGTTGTCTCTGGTCATCTTAGCTTTTGCTAGGGTTAAGTTTAAGTGTATGACTGACAGTGGTGAGGTGATGACGCCATTGACAACGACGAATGGGCTCTCCTCGTCATGTTCTCTTTCCAGTGATGTTGTTTGGCATCAAGGTGTGGAGGTTCAGTCATGGCCAGATCTTGGGCCTCGTTTTACCTAGGTGATTGACGACACCTTACGGAGGGGATGATGTTACATGTTTTTTCCTTTAGCTCCTTCGTCCGATGAAGCTCAGCCAGATAATGCTCCGCCGATGAACATACAAGGTTTATGTCTTCCTCCTTTGTTTAGCTGGAGTTTGGATTATCTTCAAGCCCTAGTTGGTGCCACCTTCTTCAAGGTTGCAGTTTGTCCATATCATGATTGTTGGCATCTACTGATCTACATCAACGAGTTACAGACTGCTGCTTCTTCAAGCTCCTGGGTTTTAACAAGATTGCTTCAGCGAGATGAAGGCCCAGAGGCAGCAAGCCAGCAACTAACTTTGTTTGTGGTGCGCGCCGATGAATGCAGAAGGAAAACAATGTCAATTTCTTCAAGGACTTGCCTGCATTTTCTTATTCTTGTAAGGGTTAATTTTGTCTCATATATCGTCTTGGGCCTTAAATAGGGAGCAAAATGCCTTCTTTTCTTTGTCAAAGCAAAATGAGTCTATTCCTCTCGTTTTGTAATGTAAGATACAGACATTGGTTAGCTTATTCATAATTGTTTTTGCTCAATGGTGTGGGCACGAAAGGACATAATTGTGGTTCATATGATGTGTCGTGGAATTGTCATGGCAGATGTCCTAAAGGAAGGACTTAGTCGTGGAGCCATCGCAACTAGGTTATCTTAAAGGGGTTAAACGGGACAAAGGACACAGGGAGCTTATGCTGGTTCGGCTCCTTGCGGTGAAGGTAAAGGCCTAATCCAGTTTGAGGTGGTATTGCTGTTGGGGAACGCGGTATTTCAAAATTTTCCTACGATCACGCAAGATCTATCTAGGAGATGCATATCAACAAGAGGGGAAGAGTATGTCTACGTACCCTCGTAGCCCGAAAGCGGAAGCGTTATGAAACACAGTTGATGTAGTCGAACGTCTTTGCGATCCAACCGATCAAGTACCGAACGCACGGCACCTCCGCGATCCGCACACGTTCAGCTCGGTGACGTCCCTCATACTCTTGATCCAGTTGAGGCCGAGGGAGAGTTTTGTCAGCACGACGACGTGATGACGGTGATGATGAAGTTATCGACGCAGGGCTTCGCCTAAGCACTACAACGATATGACCGAGGTGGAATTCTGTGGAGGGGGGCACCGCACACGGCTAAACAATCAACTTGTGTGTCTATGGGGTGCCCCCCTCCCCCGTATATAAAGGAGTGGAGGAGGGGAGGGCCGACCCTCTCATGGCGCGCCCAAGGGGGGAGTCCTACTCCCAGTAGGAGTAGGTTTCCCCCCTTCCCTAGTTGGAGTAGGAGAAGAAGGAAGAGGGAGAGGGGGGGAAGGAAAGGGGGGCCGGCCCCCTCCCAATTCGGATTGGGCTTGGGGGGCACCTTGGCCTCCTCCTCCTCTCTCCCACTAAGGCCCAATAAGGCCCATTGACTCCCCGGGGGGTTCCGGTAACCTCCGGGTACTCCGAAAAATGCCCGAACTTGTCCGGAACCATTCCGGTGTCCAAACATAGCCTTCCAATATATCGATCTTTATGTCTCGACCATTTCGAGACTCCTCGTCATGTCTGTGATCACATCCGGGACTCCGAACTACCTTCGGTACATCAAAACACATAAACTCATAATACCGATCGTCATCGAACGTTAAGCGTGCGGACCCTACGGGTTCGAGAACTATGTAGACATGACCAAGACTCACTTTCGGTCAATAACCAATAGCAGAACCTGGATGCTCATATTGGTTCCTACATATTCTACGAAGATCTTTATCGGTCAAACCGCATAACAACATACGTTGTTCCCTTTGTCGTCGGTATGTTACTTGCCCAAGATTCGATCGTCGGTATCTCAATACCTAGTTCAATCTCGTTACCAGCAAGTCTCTTTACTCGTTCCGTAATGCATCATCCCGCAACTAACTCATTAGTCACATTGCTTGCAAAGCTTATAGTGATGTGCATTACCGAGAGGGCCTAGAGATACGTCTCCGATACACGGAGTGACAAATCCTAATCTTGATCTATGCCAACTCAACAAACACCATCGGAGACACCTGTAGAGCATCTTTATAATCACCCAGTTATGTTGTGACGTTTGATAGCACACTAAGTGTTCCTCCGGTATTCGGGAGTTGCATAATCTCATAGTCATAGGAACATGTATAAGTTATGAAGAAAGCAATAGCAACAAACTAAACGATCATCATGCTAAGCTAACAAATGGGTCAAGTCAATCACATTATTCTCTAATGGTGTGATCCCGTTAATCAAATGACAACTCATGTCTATGGTTAGGAAACTTAACCATCTTTGATTAACAAGCTAGTCAAGTAGAGGCATACTAGTGACACTCAGTTTGTCTATGTATTCACACATGTACTAAGTTTCCGGTTAATACAATTCTAGCATGAATAATAAACATTTACCATGATATAAGGAAATATAAACAACAACTATATTATTGCCTCTAGGGATATTTCCTTCAGTCTCCCACTTGCACTAGAGTCAATAATCTAGATTACATAGTAATGATTCTAACACCCATGGAGTCTTGGTGCTGATCATGTTTTGCTCATGAGAGAGGCTTAGTCAATGGGTCTACAACATTCAGATCCGTATGTATCTTGCAAATCTCTATGTCTTCCTCCTTGACTTGATCGCGGATGGAATTGAAGCATCTCTTGATGTGCTTGGTTCTCTTGTGAAATCTGGATTCCTTTGCCAAGGCAATTGCACCGGTATTGTCATAAAAGATTTTCATTGGACCCGATGCACTAGGTATGACACCTAGATCAGATATGAAATCCTTCATCCAGACTCCTTCATTTGCTGCT